CCATCCCCCTCCCAGCCCCGTCCCTTTCCCTTCCAACCCCCTCCCTTTTCTGAACAAAGGCGCCGTCGCAAAGTTCCGAAAGCTGCTCGAGCAAAAGGGGGTCTGCTTCGACATCGGCGCACCCCGCGCCGCGCCACCCCATGTGCTAGTGTGTGTCCATGCCTCAGTATGGAGCGATGCGTGCAGGCGCCTATCGCGACGCGCCGCCCGGGCTGCGCATCTGGTGCGGCGCGACCGTCGAGGCGTCCGACTTGCAGGCGCAAAAATCGGGCTGAGATGGCCCGAGATGACCCGAGATCGTGATGAGGCGCGTCCGACTTGCAGGCGCACGGGGCGGTGGTGGAGTGTCGACACACACCAGCACACCGTCCAGCGCCGCACTGTTGCGTAGTGCGTCCACACCCACACATACTGAGATGCATCTCTCCCAGGTCTGTCAGCCCAGGCCACTCTCCTCCCACACCTCTCACCCTCCTTCCCCCAACCCCCTCCTCACCTCCCTCCCTCCCTCCTTCTCTCACCCACCCGGCGCCGGCACCACCCCTACCCCCACCCCCACCCCTGTCCCGCAGGCGCTCACCGGCTGGATGGAGTGGGCCTACGCGCAGGTGGCGGCCGCATGAGGCGGCGCGAGAGGCGGCGAGGGCGGTGTGGCTCGGGGCCCGTCCACACAACGCCTTGTGTGCCTCGCCGGCGCTTGTGCAAGTACGTGTTCCGGCGCGCGTCTGGGCGGACCTCGGGCCTCGGAGCGGACAGTAAGGTATTCGGAATATCGGGAGAGCACATGCCGTAAATTGGGAGACGGTAATGACGACTGACGTACGTGCAGGCGGGCACATGAGAGTAAGTGCAGGTAGAGCGTGTGTGGCGCCGAGTGCGTATACGACGTACCTTCAACCTTGTGCCGCCGAACTCGTCACACACTTTGCGCATACGCCTGCCACCCCGCGCCGCGCGCCCCCGTTCGCCGGGTCGCGAAGAGTGACGCCCCCCCCCACCCCCCTAGATCGGAACCCAGCCCAGTGATATGGTGCGTGAGCTTACAGCTTAGTTAGCAGCTAAGGGGTCCCGTACCACGCGAAATCGACCCTATCCAGTGCTCAAGTGCTCAAGCAGCTAAGCTCACGCACACCACCCGCTGACGAGCGCTCGCGGAACTGGTCCGCGGCGCCCGCCAGGGGCGTGCGCGAGACAGGGCTCGGAGCCCTTTTCTGTGAGCAGGGATTCCCCCCCGGCGGGGGTTGTGGCGGAGAGCCGGGGAATCCGGCCCCCACGGTGCGCGCCGATCCCGCCGACCAAAATCACCCCGTTTTTGCCCATTTTCGGTCATCCGTCAAAATATCTGAAGATCTGAATGGGGGATTCTCCCCAAACCTTGCTCAGCTGATCCAGCACGGGCCGTAGGCCAGCCCTGGGCAAAGAAACCAGTACCTCATCAGGCTTCCCTGAGCGTCACAGCTCGGTGATCGCGCCGGCCGGACACCACTGTGACGTCCGTTCCGGGCATTTGAACGCGACCTTCGGGGGCAAAGACATTGGCTCTATGGCTCAGACTGGACTTCTCTTGGTCCCTTCTGATGCCCTAGGCCACACCTGGGCCTTACCTGGGGTTCTAGGGGCCGGGCAGGGTTTGCCCCCCGAAAGTGGCCCGGGGAACCTTAACAGAACACAACAGAGTCTGTTTCTCCCACATCGACTCACGGCAGCAGACAGGCTCGACACAGGTGCGGGCTGGCGCCAAGAAGAGTTGCCAGTTGGAACAGCCGCGCCCACGCCCACATACGGTGTTACGCTGTACAGAGGCGGACAGAGGCCCGAGGAGCGCGAGCGGGGGCGAGGCACTAAGGAAGCGTGTACCGCAGCACGTACTCGGGATAGGCCTTTTCGGAGCGCGCAATCATGTACTGCTTACCATAGCGCTTGCCGTCTGCTTTGAGCACCCGGCAGTGAGCTTTGACGCGCTCGCACGCGTCGCAAGTGGCAGGCGTCCGGCCCGTCATATGCCGCTCGCACTTGGCTTTGTCCTCTCTAACCCATTTCAAGTCGCCCTCCGTGCCGCACCATGAGTCATAGTGGCCGCCGTCAGGTTTGACGGGCTCGCGCTCGAGGTTTCGAATCTGCTGTCTGCCGTCAACCATCTGACCATACGCTGCCCCAAAATCCTTGACCTCGCCAAGCACCACCTGTGCGAGGATAAGCTGACTCCCCTCCAGCGGCGGCGGCGCGGTGCACTCGCGGAAGAAGTGCGAGTACAACGGCTCATAGGCGAAGTACACGGCAGCACCGTAGCTGCCGTATTTGCCGCCGCGCAAGTAGTAGGTCGGATCGAAACCGTATCTGCTGTTGCACAGCACGTCGGGCTGCGTGTCGCCGCTGCTCATCCAGAGCCGCCGCTCATTGGGGTCGCCGAGTAAGGACTCCTTCTCCTTCCGCTCCTGCCAGAAGCGGCGGTAGAGCCCTTCGTTCTGCACCCGCTTTACTCCCAGCACTGTCGCCTCTGGCAGCTTTGAAAGAAGCCGCTGCGCGACCTCCGCATACTCAGTCGAGGAGGCAGGCACCTCGATCAGCCCCTGCTGCGGAGAGCCATCGGCACCAAGAAGCCAGGTGGAGGGATAGGTCAGCTCCAAATTGCGCAAGCGTGCAAGCTCGTTCTGCAGGTGGTCGTTCTGAAGCATCATAGCGCGAAGCGACGCCGGCAAATGCTGACGCGCCATCCAGACGGCTCGCGTGCGGGACGGGTCCGGGACGATGAGCATCCCGCCGTCTGCCGAGGCTGCCAAGGCTGCGTCGCCAAGCGCTCGCCAGTCAAGGTAAGGTGCCTTCGGCGTCAGCACCGGCCGCGCATCCGCCTGCGAAGGCCCCTCGAGGCGCCGTCGCTGTGCGGGTGGGGGCTGCTCGTCGGCGGCATCTCCGACGATGATCGCCGCCTTGGCCTCAACGGCAGAAACGAGCCGTCCTAGGTCTCGCGCCACTGCCGCCGCCAGATCGCGCACGCCGACACGCAACACAACACGCAGCATCCGCAGCAGGTAAGGCGTCGCGTGGACAAGCGCCTGCGAGGTCACGTCAAATGGCACGCGGAGCGTCGTCAGCGCCCATCCCCACTCCTCCTCTGGCGGCTCCGAGAGCGCCCGGAGCTCAAACGTCGCGGGCGCCCACTGTGAGTGATCGAGCCACGAGCCGTCCTCGACCGCAGCTTCGGTTGGCACGAGCAGCCACAGCAACGGCGGGGCGCTGCGGCCATGCATGTCGGCCGGGAGGTATGTGCTCTCAAAGAAGGCCACCGTCCGCGCACGCCAGTTTCCAGGCCCAGGAGGCGCGGTCGCGAGGTCGCCGTCGAAGCGGCGTTCGTCAGCGTCGCGGGCGCCGGTGACGAGGGCGCCAGGCTTAAGATCGTCGACGAGCAAAACCTCGCCACGCGAGCGCACCTCCCTGTCTTCACGAATGGTCTCGCGCGCATCCTCGAGGTCGACGGCGTTGCCCGCACTCGACAGTAGCGAGACCGCCGCCTTGACACCATCGTACTCGGTCTGCAGCGTTTTGAGGCATCGCCACGCAAGGCCGCGGAGAGCGGTCGGGTGCGCACCGCGTGCGTCGATGATGATGCTCGTCGCGAAGGCGGCACTCGTGAACCACCCACCGGCTGCGTCGAAGCAGCCGCCCATCGTTATGGCTGCCCGGCTGATACCAGCGCCCTCGCCGCGAGCAAGAAGCATGCCACCGCTCGAGAGCGCGCGCGCGTCGAACCAGCAATCGCCAGCCTTCACATACTGCTGCAGCCGCACGATCAGGCGTGGAAAGAGCTCCGGCGGCAGGAAGCTAAGCCGAATTTCCATCTTGGCGACGAGCGAATCAGGTACGAGGCCGGCAAAGGGCGCAGCGCCGCTTGGGCGGAGGGAGGGCAGCATCGACGGCACGAGGCTAGCGCCGGTCGGCTTGCCCTCTGCGTCGAGCAGTGGGTAGGCCAGCTCAAAGGCGTGCATCGTCGCGAGGAGGTATGGGCGCAGCGCGACGTTGCTCACGTCGAAGCCGTCGATCGTCTCGGCGGACCAGAGCTCGTCGATACGCGCGTGCTCTAGCCGGCCATTGGCAAGGAGCGCGCAGCGCTGCTGCGCACGAGCGCGCGTGATTGCCCCAGCGCTCTCCGCCGCAGCCTGCTTGGGGCCGATGATGCACGCCATCGCGTCGGCGAGCCACTGCGGCCGCAGCACAACAGTCTCACGCAGCATCGACGAGTCGCGATAGTGGATGGCGCCCCAGCCCGACAGCTTTTTGAGGGCGCGAAGCGCCGAAGACTCGTCGGGAATGGTTGCAGGCGGCTTGCCAGCGACGGTCACGCGGCACGCGTCACTCGTGGCAAGAGAGACGACCTGGCGCAGTGGCAGGTGCGGCGAGTCGGCCGCGCGGCTGCGCAGCTCCTCGTGCAGCTTGACTGTCGGCGCCGGCACAGTGTCTTGCACGTGATCGAGGGTAACCGCATGCGCTGCCAGCTCCGCACGCAAGCTGTCGACGCCAGTCCCGTCCTTCGAGCTGACCACAAAGACGAGGGTGGGCGTGATGCCACCTGGGCACGCATTGTCCAGCTCGCGCTGCAGCTGCCGAATCACGCCGCTGGGCTCCGTCACCTCGGCGCTGTCGGCATGCGTGCCGATGAGCGCAATCGGCGCGACGGGGGCACGGGCGCGGGCGGTGCGCAGGAAGCGCAGCGACGACGCGACGTTGTCGCCATTGCTGCGTACGTAGCGCTCCAGATCGACAACGAGAGCGTAGAGCGCGAAGCCGTCGATAAAAAAGGGGTGCGTTGACATGTACTCGTCCTGCCCGCCGAGGTCCCACAAGTAGACGCTCAGCCGGAGATCTTGCGTCTCGCTCCCGTCCTCGAGCTCGCTCATCTCGATCCCGTCCGTGGCTGGCAGCTGATCGGCGAAAACATCCTCGGCGAGGCGGCGGCGGAGGCAAGTTTTGCCAGCGCCGCCGTGCCCGAGAAAGACGAGTTTGACGCGGAAGTGATTTTGGGCGGACGCCTCCAGCTCTCGAAGCGCGTCCGCGCCGAGGAGACGAGCGGCCGCCTCGTGTGCCTCGGAGTTGAGACGAGAGGCCTCGAGCACGAAGCCGTTGTCTGCCTTGAGCCGCCTGGCTGCAGACTCGAGCGCCTCGCCATCCTGCCGCACCGCCGCAAGGACAATCTCGCGGTCCGCCCTGAGCGGTTTGGCTGCAATTTCGAGCGCGCTGCCATCCTGCTGCACCGCCGCAAGGACAATCTCGCGGTCCGCCCTGAGCGGTTTGGCTGCAGACTCGAGCGCCTCGCCATCCTGCCGCACCGCCGCAAGGACAATCTCGCGGTCCGCCCTGAGCGGTTTGGCTGCAATTTCGAGCGCGCTGCCATCCTGCTGCACCGCCGCAAGGACAATCTCGCGGTCCGCCCTGAGCGGTTTGGCTGCAATTTCGAGCGCGCTGCCATCCTGCTGCACCGCCGCAAGGACAATCTCGCGGTCCGCCCTGAGCGGTTTGGCTGCAATTTCGAGCGCGCTGCCATCCTGCTGCACCGCCGCAAGGACAATCTCGCGGTCCGCCCTGAGCGGTTTGGCTGCAATTTCGAGCGCGCTGCCATCCTGCTGCACCGCCGCAAGGACAATCTCGCGGTCCGCCTTGAGCTCCTCCGCTGCATACTTGAGCGCGTCGCCATTCTGCTGTACCGCCGCCAGCATAAACTCGCGGTCAGCATTGAGCTGCTCGGCTGCGTACTCGAGCGCGCTGCCATCCTGCCGCACCGCCGCAAGGACAATCTCGCGGTCCGCCGTGAGCGGCTCGGCTGCCCACTCGAGCGCGCTGCCATCCTGCTGCACCGCCGCAAGGACAATCTCGCGGTCCGCCTTGAGCTGCTCCGCTGCACAATGGAGCGCGCTGCCTTCCTGCTGCACCGCCGCAAGGACAATCTCGCGGTCCGCCTTGAGTGGCTCGGCTGCCCACATGAGCGCCCAGCCATACTGCCGCACCGCCGCAAGGACAATCTCGCGGTCCGCCCTGGACTCCTCGGCTGCATACCGGAGCGCGTAGCCATCAAACCGCACCGCCGCCAGCGCGGCCTCGTGGTCTGCCATTTACAGCGAGGCAGAACAAACCGGCGATTCAACAGCGTCTGGGCAGATAAAAAAACACGTTTGTTCATAGATCTAACATCGAAGGCTAGCTCAAAGATCCTGCTCGTGCAGGTGGGGACCCTGAGCGTGGTGCTCTACTTATCAAACGAAAGTGCTCGATATTGAATATCCCCCTCGCGATTCCCTGTAGGTTGTACAGAGTACAGCGGTTCAGCGCCCCGGCGCCCCCGCGGCGCACCCGCACGCCCCCCTTTGTATATGTTCCCTCCTCGCCGCACGCGCCACGCCGGCACCCTCCCGGCAGGCCGCCGCAAGCGCAAGCAACACCAGAACTCCACAGCACCCAAGAGGCACTGCATGACTGAAGTTCCGACCTCACTGACTGACTGAAGTTCCGACCTAAAAAAGCTCGGCGCCTCCCTCGCTCGCGCCTCGGCATACACACACACTCAAAATGCGCCACTGGGCGGGCCTCACACTTGAGCACTTGAGCACTGGAGGGTCGATTCCGCATGGTACGGGACCCCTTTACCTTTACACAGAACGGCGGTTGTAGAACCAAACTTCGTCCACAATCGTGACGCCCCCTAGACGGCTAGGTGTCCGGCGACACCCAGCAGGGCTGTCAGCCGCGAGCCAGCTCAAAAGCTGACGCGTGGCGAGAGCCGGTCGTAGCGAGTGCCACCGGGCGGCGCGTGGCTATCGGCGCCGGCGCGCACGAGCGCGGCCATCCACCCCTCTCGCTCTTGCTCGGTGAGCGCCTGCAGGACAGATGGGGCGAGAGGAGCGCGAGGCGGTGGCGTGTGTGCGCCTGTGTCTGCTGTAGAGGGCCGACCCGAGATAACCCTCCTCCCCCCCTCCCTCCCTCCCTCCCTCCCTCCCTCCCCCCCCCCTCCCTCTCTCGGTGTATTCACGGCCAATTTGGCGGGGAGCCGCTCCCCACTGCCCACCTCTCTCCCCCGAGGCGTGCGCTGCGCGCGGGCTGCTGCTGCTCAACTGTTCGGTGTACGAGACTTTGCGTTTCATCCCGCCGCTGACCGTCGCACCGGCCGAGGTGGACGAGGCGTGCGATGTCTTCGACGCGGCGCTGGCGGAGGTGGTGGCGTGAAATTCGCCAGTGAGAGCACGAATGAAGGTGCACGTGTCTTCGAGGAGAACTGCCGAAAGCATATGAGATAGGCGTAGAGAGACACACTGCTGCTGGCCGTCCGTGCGTCTCTAAAGCTGTTCGTGCCTGGCGCGAAGAAAAGAAAATTTACACCGCATCTCTCTGAGAGATTGACTGCTCTCTCTCTCTCTCTCTCTCTCTCTCTCTCTCTCTCTCTCTCTCTCTCTCTCTCTCTCTCTCTCTCTCTCTCCGCTCTCTCAGCCGAGGCACGTGTGTACTCGTAGTATAATATTATAGGATTAAAATCGGGCGGTTGCGAGCTAGTACACTCGGCCTATTGGCTCTGGCGCTGGCACAACACGATAAAAAGAATTTAAACAAAACAACTCTCTCTCACAGGTGCGCCTCGCCATGGACGGCGCTTGGCGTCCCGTGATGGAGAGGTACCTCGCAACCCTCCTCAGCGGCGAGCCGGGCCGCATGGAGCGCATCAGGGCGGAGAGCTCTTGGAGACACTTGGCGCGGGAAGGTGCCGCGGCGGCGACGCTGCCAAAGGCGCTGCTGGCCTTGCTTCGACTGCCACAATACTCGTAATCCGCATCCACCACTGTGTGTCTGTGCGTGTTCGCTGTTTCTACTCTACAGTACGTTTGTTACGCCTTCTACTCTGCGTCTACTGTCCGAGGCTTCACCCTTGGGGACCCGCTGTGTGCAGGGGCTGCACACAGCTGGGATGCCCAGGGACACGACGGCAAGAAAACCAACGGTGAAGTCCGAGACCACGACGAAACGGGGGGGGCACTAGACACGGGGGCCGTTCCTCCTCTCACCTATGCGCCCTGCTGTCGAGCCCTATCCTCTCCACAAGGCGATGTGCGATTTGCGCCGAGGATCTGGGGAAATTGCGACTTGTCGATCTCGTAGATCGCCGCTGGTGTGAAGCCGGTCACCAGCACCTTGAATACATCGATCCCATCAACGCAGTCGTCGACCGTGATGATGCGGTGCGTGCCGAGCCCGGGCGCGCCGGCTGCAGCGACGTAGCCTGGGCTACTAATGTTCGTGTTGGGGTCGACGCCTGTCGACATGTTGAGCGGGATGAAGTGGTACTGGACGTCCTCCTCCGGCTCGGACCAGTCGTCCCTGAATTGCTGCATGTAAACACCCTCGCACACGGCGGCCCTGTTACCGTTGAGCGGGCCTACCTTCGAGCCGTTGACGGGCGCCAGAGAGGAGGCAAGCGCGTAGATCATCTTGCTCCGGTTCGAAAAGGCGAGGTGGATGAAAGGCCGAGGCCACATCGGGCATGCGCCCTCGGCACCCTCCTCTTCCAAGGCGGTCGTCGAGTAGTTCTGCTCCACCTTGAAGGCGGTAAAGGGGCTGGGCGTGCCGTCTTGCGCGAAGCGGAGGATCGTGCCGTCCTTGCGCTTGAGCGACGACGCCCAAGCAGAGCCATCGGGAGAAGACACCATTCCGGGACCGGTGATCTGAAAAGGAGGTTCTCCGGCGTAGCCGCTGTCGATTGGCAGCCCGAATTTGTTGCCAAAGCCCACGTTGATTTGCTCGCTCATGTTCTGCCCGAATTTGTCCATCTTTGCGATGCGCAGCACAGATGGCGTGGAGTCCTGCGCCACGTAAATGTTGCCTTCGCGGTCTGTGGTGATCTGGACAGGTTGTGCTCCGGTGTCGTACAGCAGACCGCCCTTAGCTTTGTAGCCACTCGGCTGCTTGACCGTAGGCCACCCATCCATCACCACAGGAGCCGAGTGATTGTAGTGGTTGGGATCTACCACCCACGTGGCGTACTGGAAAGTATCGGCACTGTAGTAGGAGTCGTAAGAGCCCTGGGCACTGTAGTAGGAGTCGTCCACGGCTCCTCTCCCGCTGTCATCTGCCCGAGGGCAGCCCGAGTTGCACACGTAGTCGAACACGATGTCATTGGACAGCGCGAGCTTGTTGCAAATCTGTCGACGCAGCCAGAATGGCGCCTTCTGGAAGGATTCATACGTGCATTTGAGGTACTGATGCTCGTGCTCCCCGTAGATGGCTTGTTGCACCTGCTCGGCGTTGTCAGGCTTGTACGAGCTCATGGCTTCGGGAAATGTCGTCGGCGGGAAGAACGAGAAGAAGAACTTCAGCACATCATCCTGTTCCTGCCCTCCGCCGTCGGCAGCTCTGTCCAGCGAGAGGCCCGCGGCGGTGGCGTCCAAAACGCGCAGCAGCAGAGGCGGCGTTTCGACAGCGTCGGTCGGATTTGCGTCGAAGGAACGCAGTGGTGTGGTGAGATTGCGTGACCCAAAGGCTGCTCTAATCAAGGCCAGCACCTTCGCACCAATGTTGGCACTCTCCACGTCGTTGTCGAGTTCGCAGTTGATTAGAAAGCGCGCGCATTGGTACGCCTTCAGGACGCTCTTGACAAGATCCATGCGCACAGCTCTGTGGTTCCTAGCCTGATTACTGGTCTGGCTCAACGACATCCCGCGGTAGGCCTCCAGCACCGAGTTCGAAAAATGACCGACGATTGCCAGATTCACATGATCCGGCGCATGCCTGTCCGCCAGTAAATTTCTGTGCCAGGCGTAGGCCGCTTTGCCTTCCCGCATCTCGACGTGCTTAGGATCGCGGCACTCTGACTCGACCTTGACCGTTCCGTCATCTGCCGGGGAGATTGGGGTGTCGTGAGCGAGCGTACTGAGAGGAAGGTGGTGAGGGGAGCGTACCGTACGGCCCCTTGAGGGCGACGGCAATTCGACAGTCTGGCGTCTCGTGCACGGCGTGGGGTCCCATGGTGATGAAGCGCGGAGTATTGTAGAGCCTTGACCTGAAGATTTCGCCGCCAAGCTCCGGACCGAGGACCTGAGGTCCGTGCACATCGAATGGAACCCGGAGCTCGTAGATTGGAGGAGCAGACATGTTGGACGGATCGACCAGCAGGACGCGATCCCCGTACTGCTCAGACAGCCAGAGCGCGCCTGGATGCTGGCGGTTATCTGGGCGAACACATTCATGGTTTGACGGACCGACGTTGTGCAGGCCGTTGATTTTTCTGTCGTCGGTGAGCCAGTTTCCGAGGTTGTGGTCGGTGTAGTGATCAAAGTGACCAACGTGCTGCCAACCGTTGGGGTCATCATCATCGCTCAGATCCACGCCGGGGACAACGCCCTCTACGGGCGAGCCCCAGCGCTGGTAGAAAGTGATGCCGCTCCCGTTGAGAGCTTTTTCTTTTTGCTGGGATAGAGAGATCTCCCCCATCAGGCCGTAAGGCACGTTGGAGAAGAAGACTCGGTGTGTAACATTGTTGTAGGCGATCTCATGCGCTTGGGGAGGAAGGGTGTAGTTTGTGATCTCTTTGTTGTCGGTGATTGGTGGCGCCACCTCGTTGTATGGCGCAACAAAGTCGTACGGAGCGGCCTGCAGGGTGCCTGGGAATGCAACTATCGTCTGGATCTTTCCTTGAGGGGATGGGTTCGAAGGTGAAGATGGCGGCGCTTGCACCGCCTCGGCCGGCGGGCACGGGAAGAAGAGGAAACCGCACGGCGGCTCCAGCACGGGTGGCCACGCGGCGTCCAGCTTCCGCGCGGGCGCGGCGCTCGTGGAGACGAGAAGGTGCAGCATTTTGGACGACAGCGAAGCCAACACAAAACCTGCGGCCGCTGAGGATCCCTTGCGAATTCGGAAGGACGCGCGCGAATTCACAGGACGTTTTTGGTTCGCAAGGGAGCTGATCAAGACCCAAGGCAGGATCTAGACAGGTACAGGTGACACACGGACGCGACGCGACAGGGGGAGGGACGGTTTTATTACCTTAGAAAACAGGTTTCGAAACCGCCAATTGAATTTGTGTCTTGATTGAGCTCTGTGTCCTGACTTGCCAACAATACACCCAAAACACCTTACACGTCTTCCTCGGCGGATCTCTTGGCAAATCGGTACCCGGTACAGTGATCCATTAGCGTCTGCGAGGTTATAGCAGACAGCCGTGCTAGCCACGAAGCATGCGGCCATCGCTCACGGAGGCGCTCAGTGTCGGCCTCGCGGCGTGCCAACCGGCCAAACGCGCTCAGTGTCGGCCTCGCGGCGTGCCCGCGCCTTGGCCTCGTCAACTACTCGATGCAAAAATCGACGACTGCCGGCATTTCTAGCTATATGAACCGCCACGTGCGCCGACGATTCCGCGTTGACGAGGCACGTATGTAGATAGGGCATACACCTGGTGGTGGTCGGCCAATGCGCCCTGTCCTGCCCTGTCCTGCCCTGCGAGCGCAGCTCCTCCGCCTCACGCTGGCAAGAGCGCTCTTTGACGGCGGGGTTGATCGCCGCCGGGTGTCCCACAGTGAGCGTACCGTACTATCGTCTCTGACTGAAAAGGCGCCGTCGTGAAGCCACCTCGCGCATTGGGCAGGGCAGGACAGGGCGCACCGCGGACCGCGGCTCGGGGTCTCGTGCGCCCCACATCACAGCCCGCGGCCTAGAGAGATTAGAGTGAAGAGGTGCCACGGCAGGAGACAGTGGAGCATGCCCCGTGACATGAAGACACCATCCGGATTTGCCTCTCGCAACTCTCGCGTACGCCGCAGGTGGCGATAGGCACGTGGGCAACGCGGCAACACTGAGCCTTGCGCCCTTTCGCACTTCTCATCACTGCCCCGGCGCCCACGCCTCGACCTTCTTGGGCAGCAGCTGGTTTGACAGGTCCTCTCCGTGGCCTAGGCAGCCGTCGCCGCCCTTGCCCCACGTGAAGACGGCGCCGTCGGCGGTGAGGGCGAGGCTGTGGTCCTCTCCAGCTGACACGGCGACGACGCGCTGGTCAGCAAAGGCCTCGACCTTCTTGGGCAGCAGCTGCTCCTCCAGGTCGCCGTGGCCCAGCTGGCCAAAGACTCCACCGCCCCAGCTCCAGAGGGCGCCGTAAGCGGTGAGGGCGAGGTTGTGCACGGCTCCAGCCGACACAGCGACGACGCGCAAGTCAGCCAACGCCTCGACCTTCTTGGGCAGCAGCTGCTGCTGCTCGTCGCCGTGGCCCAGCTTGCCATAGCCCCAGCTCCAAACGGCGCCGTCGGTGGTGGTGGCGAGGCTGTGGGTTCCTCCAGCCGACACAGCCACGACGCGCTGGCCAGCCAAGGCCTCGACCTTCTTCGGCAGCAGCTGGTTCTGCTGGTCGCCGTGGCCCAACCGGCCACAGGCTCCACTGCCCCAGCTCCAGACGCTGCCGCCGACGGTGAGGGTGAGGCTGTGGTGTGCTCCAGCCGACAGAGCGACGACGCGCCGCCCAGCGAAGGCCTCGACCTTCTTTGGCAGCAGCTGGAGCTGCGTGTCGCCGTGGCCCAGCCGGCCAAGGGCTCCAGCGCCCCAGCTCCAGACGGCGCCGTCGGCGGTGAGGGCGAGGCTGTGGAAGTATCCAGGCGCGACAGCGACGACACGCTGGCCAGCCAAGGCCTCGATCTTCTTCGGCAGCAGCTGGTGCTGCTGGTCGCCGTGGCCCAGCTGGCCACAGGCTCCATAGCCCCAGCTCCAGACGGCGCCGCTGCCGGTGAGGGCGAGGCTGTGGAGTCCTCCAGTCGCCACACTCACGGCGCGCTCGCCCAGCGTGGAAGGGAGGCGGGTCGGCGTGTTGAGCTGCGTCACGCCCTCGCCGTGGCCAAGGATGCCTGGGACGTGACCCGGCGGGCAGCCGCACGACGAGAGCCGCCCCTCGCCGTCGATGAAGAGGCTAAGCCGCTTGCCTGCCGCCGCCCTCGCCGGTGGGTTGGACTCGCGCAGGAGCGCAGCAAAGCAGAGCCACCGCACGACGCAGCTCTCGCCCTCGGGCTGCGCCGGCAGCTCGAAGCCGCGCTCTCGCGCCCACAAGCGGATGCCCTCTAGCGCGAGCGAGGCGTGGAAGAGCAGCGAGACGGCCGCGACGCGAGCGATGTCGGCGGGGACGCAGCGAGAGATGACGCGCGCGAGGAGCTCCGTGGGGAGGTCGGTGAGGGGGCAGTGTGCGGCGGCGGCGGCGGCGGCGGCGATACGGCGCGAGCGCGCTGCGGGGCTGACATCTGGAAAAAACGCAAAAAATTTTCCACTTGGGTGCGCTTCTCAGCTCCCCGGTCCTGGGCGTGAGGTTACTGACCGCACTCCAAGTGCTCCAAGTTGCGTCTGCACTCCAAGTGCTCCAAGTGCGTGAATCTCCGGGCCCATCCCTCCCTTGGGTTGTCTGTTTCCTTTCTTTCTTTTTACCGGGTACGGGACTGGCACTCAAAGGACACTGCGGGCGGACCCTTTACAGATCACAGATCACACAGCGCCAGCGGAGACGGGTTCTAATAGAAGCCGTCGTCCTCACAGAGTGAAAGGCGTCGTCGGAAAAAGAATTTACGGTGGGCCCACGACGGAAAAAGAATTCAGCGCGGAGTTCCCATCGGGTGATGCTCTGATAAACCCTCCGGATCTTCGACAAAGGTCGGATATTTCTTTTTTCAAAGTGCAAGGTGTGAATAAGAGGTTTATGATAGGGCTACTACGACGAACTATGCGGCAATCGACTGGGCGCCTGGCGCCCGACCACCCCCGCGCAAAGACCTCGTAGTAGCCCTCCCCGTAACCGACTTGGCCGGAGACGTGTCCTTCCAGGCCGCTGTCGCCGCGCAGAGATCGGCGCGAGCAGTCGCTCGAGGTGCTCTACTGGCTGGCGGTGCTCAAGGGGAAGGCGCACACGCTGGCCGAGGACACGGTCGTCAACACACCGACACCATCCCCGCGGGCTATCTCGTGGTCAAGGCGCAGTGGCTTCAGGCTCGAGCAACGCGAGTGCGAGGGCAAGCTTCGCTCCTACACGCTGCTCGAGGCCGAGACGCTCATCATCGTGAATCACATGGTGCGGCTGGCGGGCTTGCGCTTCTCGCCCGGGCGGCCCTGCGGACCGCCAGCTGAGGAGCGCGCGCGAGAAGCTCTATATTGGCCTACAGACGCATTACTCGCTCGAGGGCGTGCTGCAGTGAAGACTTATTTTGGAGGCGTCGATTTGTGCAAAAATGTGTGTTAGAGTGCGCTAGATGGCAAAATTTTCTTCGCCTCCGGCGGGGCCGCTCGCCGCGGGGAGGCTAGAGAGTGACTTTTGTCGATGTCGGCTAGAAGTGCTGCACGTTTTTCAGAATTTCACCCCATCCCTCTTTTGGGTTGTACTTTCTTTCGAACTGTGACTGGCCTTTGGCGGCCGTGTCTAGGCAGTTCAGACAGTGAGAGCGAGCGGGCTCTCAGTCCTCGTCCTCGCCCTCCTCCTCCGGCTCCACCGTCTTTGCGAATTTGGGGTACGTGCCCGCCGTCGGGTCGGCGCCGGTCGGCTGGTTGTGAGAGTAGGCGGGCGTGACGTACAGCGGCTGCTCCTCGGCGATCTTTGCGTACCTGACCACACAGCGGGCGGGCGTAGGCGGCAGCCCCCCCCCCCCCCCCAGCGGGGAGCTTCTTCCCCCCCCCCCCTCGGGCCCGGGCGGCAGTCCCCCCCCCCCCCCCTCTCGCGCGCACTTGAGCAGCTCCTCGCGCGGGTCCTCGTTCTGGAAGGCGGCGATCTTGTCCTTTGTGCCGGTGAGGCCGGACGTGCCTACAGACACGTCCCGCTCGTGTCATCGGCGTGTCGTGGACGTGTCCCGGGTGCCGGGGGAGGCCGGGCGTGCCTCCAGACATGGTCGCGAGCAGCGCCTGCTGGTAGCCGACGCTGAGCTTGCCGTTGTGGCCCGGACCGGTCAGCACCTGCGGGCGGTGAGCGGCGGTGAGAGGCGATGCGGCGGTGAGCAGTGGCGAGCGGCGGCGAGCGGCGGCGAGCGGCGGCGAGCGGCGGCGGCGGCGGCGAGGAGCAGCGGTGAGAGTGCCACGCAGGGAGCGACGCGCTCTCGAGCATGCCTCATCTCGACCGCATCTCGACCGCATCTCGACCGCATCTCGACCGCATCTCGACCGCATCTCGACCGCATCTCGGAAGCTCTTCGCCTGCTCCGGCTTGCGCGACTTGAGCCATCTCCCCCATACCTCCCATATCTCCCCACATCTCCCCACATCTCCCCATATCTCGCCTGCTCCGGCTTGCGCGACTTGAGCGGGTCCGCGCGGTCCTTCTGGCGCTTCTTGCGGTGGTCGTCGTTCTCCTCGCGGTACATTGGCAGCGCGTGCGGCGTGATGATCTGCATCGCCTTTGAGAAGCCCTCCCCCGAGTAGGAGAGCATCCCTCGCTTGGGCGCCGCCTGCGGTGCCGAGGGGGCAGAGGCGGGTCTGGACACTGAGGCGTGTGTGCAGGGGGGGTTGGGGCGGGGGAGGGGTGGGGGGGGCGGGGGGGGAGGGGAGAAGGGAGAGGGGAGAGGGGAGAGGAGGGGAGAGGGGGGGAGGGGAGAGGAGAGGCGAGGCGAGGCGAGGAGAGGAGAGGAGAGGAGAGGAGGGGATGAGAAGGGAGGAGAGGGGAGGAGAGGAGAGGAGAGGAGAGGAGAGGAGAGGAGAGGAGAGGAGAGGAGAGGAAAGGAGAGAGGAGGCGAGGGGAGGAGAGGGGGAGAGGGGGCGAGGAGGAGCGCCGCCTTGACGGAGCAGAAGAGAGCGCCCTTCTCGGAGACGGTCGGGTCGTACAGCGTGTACGCCTTGCCGTCGGCGTTTCCGATCACGATCTGGTTGAGCCGCGGGTGCCACAGCAGAGGCACCACGCTCGCGCCGTCAACCTCCAGCGTCGCGATCCGGCTCAGCGTGCGCGTCGAGAAGAAGGCGAGCGTCGGCTTGGCGCCCGAGCCGCGCTTGACGGACGTGCCCGTGACCACCACCGAGCCGTCGGGCGAGAAGTCGCATCCGGTCATCGGCAGCAGCGCAGGCAAGTCGCCCCACGCGGCGAGGGGCGCGTCGAGCCGCCGCGTGTCCCACAGCTTGAGGCACCCATCCGTCGAGCGGGAGGCGAACGTGACGCCGTCCCTCCGCCAGGTGAGGCTCGAGATGTCCTGTTCACAGCAAAAGGTGTGAAGAGACGCTGTTCACAGCCGTCCCTCCGCCACGTGAGGCTCGAGATGTCCTCTCCCGCCGCATGGGCCGCGCGCGCCGCAGACGTCGGCTTGCTGATGTCTGCGATGTACTCGGAGCGCGGCGTGGCGCGCATCGCCAGCTGCACGGGCTGATACGGCTTGGCGCGCATCTCCCACAGCTGGATCGAGCCGTCGCGGCCGGCCGACAGGATCGCGCTGCCGTCGGGGGCCCACGAGGCGGCGGTGCACGGCGTCTTGACGCCCTTGGCGTCGCGCAGCACGTAGACCGCCCGCTGGCCGCTCTGCACGTTGAGCGAGGAGGCGTCGTTGCCACGCGCGGCGGCGACCTCCACGTCCCACAGCCTCACAGTGCCGTCCTCCGACGCCGTCGCCAGCGTCTCGTGCTCCGAGGGGTGCCACGCCGCAGCCGTGCACGCCGCGACGTGTCCGCGCGTGTGCCGCATGTCGCGGATGTACATGTCGCCTTTCATCATCGTTGCGAGCTTGCGCCCGTCGCGGTCGAGGATGACCGGCTGGTTGGACGAGCCCGCCACCGCGACGCGGTCGCAGTTTGGGGAGTAGGAGATCGAGCGAACCTGGTACGCGCCCAGCGGCTCGGCGATGTGCCGGAACGGCCTCAGCTCTCGCGTCATGCCGGCGTAGTCCCAAAAGTAGAGGTCCGAGTCCGACCCGCCCGTGACGAGCCGGTTGCCCGCGCGGTCGAGCGCGAGGCATGTCACCGTCTTCGCGTGCGCCGACAGCACGAGCTGGTGTGACACGGGCAGCGCCGGCGCCGCCTCCTCCTCCTCCTCTCCGCCGCCATCGTCGTCTCCCTCGCCGCCGCGCTGCCTCCGCCTCCGCCGGCCCCGCGCGGCACCCGAAGGGGCGTCCTCATCGAAGACCTGCTGGCTGAGGTCCTGTTCACAGCAAGAGGCGTGACGAGACGCTGTTCACAGCGGGACAGCATCGAAGACCTGCTGGCTGAGGGCCTCTGGGTCGTACCCGTCCGCATGCCCCGCCCCGCGCCCCGCCCCGCGCCCCGCCCCGCGCCCCGGAGGCAGCTGAGGCCCAAAATCAGCCTCCTCCTCCTCCTCCTCCTCCGCCGCCGCCGCAGCAGCAGCAGCAGCCACCCCGGGCGGCAGCTGAGGCCCAAAGTCATCGTCGGCTGGCGGCGGCGCGGACGGGCCCGCCTCGCCTCCTCCTCCTCCTCCTCCTCCGCCTCCGCCTTCAAAGCCTGGAGGCACCGGCGGGCCGACCTCCTCGTCGTCGCTCTCGTCGCTCCCTCCTCCGCCTCCGCTCCCACCGCCTCCGCTCCCACCGCCTCCGCTCCCTCCGCCTCCGCTTCCTCCGCCTCCGCCTCCGCTCCCGCCGCCGCCCCCTCCGCCCCCGCTCCCGCCGTCTCCGCCGCCGCCAAAGCCTGGCGGCAGCGGCGGGCCAACCTCGTCGTCGTCGCTGCCGCCGTCCGTGGCGGCGGCGCCCCCCCCGGCCGGCGGCCGGCTGGGCGCCAGGGCATGCGCGGGCCTGCGCGGCGGCGGCGGCGGCATCGCGCCGCCCTTCTTGGCCGCACCACCGCGCTTGGCTCCGCCTTGGCTCGAGGCGGAAGCCGCGGCCGACGGCGCGGCGGCGGCGGCGGCGGCGGCAGCTTGCGACTCGCGCAGCTGGACGAGGGTGGGGGAGGCGGCGGCGACGTTGAGGCCGGTGCCGAGCGTGGACGCCATCTGCATGCCCTTCTTGCCCTTCTTGCCCTTCTTGCCGCCGCCGCCGGCCTCCACGGTGAGGCTTTCTTTTTGCCTCGCAAACGACGCGTGCTGCGCCTGCGGGCGACGGGGCGGAGGGCGGTGGGGCGGTGGGGCGGTGGGGCGGTGGGGCGGTGGGGCGGTGGGGCGGTGGGGCGGTGGGCAGGGGGCGGAGGGCGGTGGGGCGGACGGGCGGAGGGGGGGCGAGTGGTGGGGTGGAGGGCGGCTGCGCGGTGGGGAGGGCGGTGGGGCGGGTGGTGGGGGGCGGGTGGTGGGGCGGTGGGGCAAGAGGAGGGTGTGCAGGGAGGGAGGAGAGGGTGAGTGAGGAGGCGAGGCGGCGTGGTGTGCCGGCGCGTGCGTTCTGACTGCGCGTGTGTTCTGACTGCGCGTGTGTTCTGACTGCGCGTGTGTTCTTTCTGCGCGTGCTTCGCCTCGAGTGACGGGCCACCGCCGCCGCCCGACTTGCCGAGCTGCATCGGGAAGAGGGCGCGCAGGGCCTCGTCCTCCGCCTCCTGCGCGGCCAGCTCCGCCGCCGCCGCCGCCGCCCCTCCTGTACCGCCGCCGGACAGCAGCGCCGCGCCCATCGAGTGCGCGGCGGTCGGCGCGCGCCCCGCGCTGGCGGTGGCGGCGGGGGAGGCGTCGTCGTCGTCGTCGTCGTCGTCGTCGAGTGCCGCGCGATCCGCCGCCTCCTGCTCCCGCCGCGCGTGCTCCGCCCGCTCCCGCGCCGCCTCGCGCACAGCAGCGCCGAGCGCCGCGACGGTGCCGACGGGGACGAGAGTGCGCGTCGCGCCGCCAACCGTGATTGGCAGGCCGTCGAAGAGGCGGAAGGGCTGCTGCGGCGCGAGCGGCGTGCCAGCGACCTTGGTGCCGTGCGCTGAGCCCAGGTCAGTCACGAAGAACGCGCCGCCCTCCTCGGTGATCGCCGCGTGCAAGCGCGAGACGCTAGGATGGTTGACGACGAGGTCCGCGTCGAGCGAGCGGCCGATGAGCCACCGGCGCTTGGCCCCGCTCAGCGCGACGCTGCCCAGCACGGCGCCCTCCCGTCGCACGTCGATCCTCGGGCCGTCTTCTGGCATGGCCCTGGCCCTGTTCACAGCCTTGTTATTGAGAAGAAAATACGTAAGATGGCGCTGTGCGCTGGTCTGTGAGAGGTTGAGGTGCGAGCCCTGGAGGCCCTGGGAATGGGGGGAGACTACCCGCGGGCCTAGAAGGCCCGCGCGCAGGGGGGTGGGGCATTGAGACCGGTCATGAATGAGTGCGCGACACGCATGTTGCGAGCAAGCACAGGCAGGGCCCCCTTCTCCCCTACCTAGGCACCGGTACTAAGGGAGGCGTGCAAGAAGTGGGCTAGCTTTGAGTTGCGCTCGCGGCGCCGCTCCTGATGTCTCTCCGGCTGCGGCCTCCCAGGCAACGCGGCCGGCCTGCGCGCCTGCCTGCAGCTCATGCGCGCTCGATCTCTCTCTCTGCACTCTCTCTGGCCGTCGACCCGGCTGCCGCAAGTCAAGGTTCCCCTCAGTTCCCCGGGGTACTAATCTGAGCCGACTTTTAGCTAATGGGAGATGAAGGGGAGAGAGATGCAGGTAGGCACTCGAGTAGGTGTGTGTGGTATCTAGGAAGGCGGGCCCAAGGGAGGTCGGGACCTCCCTGCCTTGCTTGGACTAGTACTCGGAGCTCTGCGGCGGAAATTTCTTGATTAGCCAAATACGCTGAAAAGTCAAAGCGCATTCGCCGAGACACATACATGCTTTTCGGCGCGCATGTGCATGGTCCCGATCTCCGCCCAGACGAGGTGGAGCTGCCCGTCTTGTTGCAGCTCCCGTGGCACTTCTTCTGCTCATTTATCACTGCCGCTGTAGCATATGCTGCGGCTACGATTAGAGGACAAGTAGTGGCGCCTGCCGTCACCCCTCCGCTGGAAGGCGCAGCGAGTTGCCCACCGCTCGGAAGAGGCCTGGCAAACTTGACGCTGCCGACCGCCCGGGGCTGTGCCTGCTGCAGTCAGTCTGGCTTTGACGACCCGAGCCGGAACTGCCAATACTGCTGCGCCTTCAGTGGGATTGATCTTGCTCAGGCACGTGCATGCCCAGAGTGCAATCTTGGGGGTGAGTTTGTGTGCTAAGCAGCCCACACGCGAGAGCTTCCGCGACCTTTCCCCCGTTCCAGTGTAGCTAGGGCACCTAAGCTACATCAACCGAGAGCGCACCCAACACATCAACCTAAGTTGAGCTGCTCAACCTGTCATAGAGAGCCCCAAAACAAAGAACGGTACTCAGGTCCAAAGTCTGATGCAGCGTCCCATCCTTCCCTCGTTCTCGCCGGACGGACGTTCGCCGGCAGGCCGCGAGGGCATCTGCCGGCGCTCGTCTGCCAAAGTGGCGCCAGAGTGGAGATCTGGAGGCTGCATATTCAACTGGCCGAGGCGGTCTACCGTCCGGCGGCGGCGGTCTACCGTATTCCGTTCGGCGGCTGAAAAAGGGGTTGACGAGTCTACCGCGGTCTACCAAGTCTACCGGTAGACTGGGGTCGTAGGTTCATTACGGTCTACCGGTAGACTCGTCTACCAAATGGTCTCCCGTCTACCCGGTCTACCGGTAGACGGTAGACGGGCCACCCCTCAGGTGGATTGGCGCCAGTCCTGAGTGGGGCGAAAACAGCCACCCTGACGTGACGCGAGTGTTTGGCTTCAGGTGGCTGCGGACCCCACCTGGCCTGACGGGCTTGATGACCCTCACGTTTGACTGCACCTTTGGTGACCTCAGCAGCCAGGCGCAGGTGAAACTTCAGCCTACCCTAGAGCCTACCCGCTACCCCCCGAGCCCTAGAAATCGTTTGAAAACAATCCAAGCTGTTCAAGCATCATGGTGAAGCGGTAGCGCAGCTGTTTGAGCCACAGAGAGGAATGTAGCCATCATTCACTTCTTCAACGCTCCACTCCAGGGAAAGAAAGAAAGAAAACAGAGAACGCAAACGAGGGAAGGATGGGACGAGGACAGGGTCCCCACCTGCACGAGCAGGAATTTGGAAGGACGATCAGGGACAGAGGGCACACACACACACTCACACCACACACAGGGGAACGGAGTGAGTGGCGCGCACTGCAAGATCCAATCGTTGGAAAATTCTTTTGCACAAGAAGAGAGCGGGAATAACCTTCCCGCCCCCATGATGAGCGACATGATGTCGGCGATGGCGCGGGGCTTTGGCGCCTCTATGGGCGAGAGCATTCTCGCGGGCGTGGCCGAATCGCGAGACGGATTCCGCAAGGCGGCTCGCGACGCGAAGCCGCCGGACAAGAGGCCTCACCCGTTTGACGCGGATGCCTGCCACCGGTTTGACGAGCTCGCCGCGCACGCCGAGACGGCAGGCTTAAGCGGCTTCGTTGACGAGCTCACGGACCTGATCGCGTGCGGCAAGCTCACGGAGTCCGCGGCGCACGCGCAACTCTGGCCGCCGGTCGCCGTTGCCACTTCTGCGGAGAAGCAATACACGTGGCCGCACCCCTGGCGAACGCGAGCGCCGTCGCTCAACGACGCGATGGCCAGGTACGACGAGAATGGCAAGTACTCGCTCGCAAACCAGCTCGCGGTGCTCGTGAACCCGCGCTGGGAGGCGCTCAAGGACCTGGGCAACGCAGCGCTCAAGGCTGGGGAGCCGAGGGTGGCGGTGGTGTGGTACGAGAGGGCGGCGAGCCTCACGGATGCGAACATCACGGCGATGGCGTTCTTCAAGGCGCTCGGCGGCGCCGCGGAGCACACTGTCGCGGCGCGCCTTGCCAGCGCAGAGGGCGACCTCCGCGATGTCATCCTCCGATTTCTCCCCGACGGCCCGCGCGTCAGCGTGCCCTTCGACGCGGACGGTCAGGCCAAGGCCGCTGCAAGGGGCGTGCCGCCCGAGGGCACCGAGCCCAACCTCCCGCGAGCTACCTGCCTTGCGAACGCCGCCGCAGCCCTGCTCAAAGCTGGCGAGCCGGAGGTGTGTTTCCGCCGCCGCAGCTGGGCGGCGATTGGCTGGCCGGGCTTCTCTCGCATCCGTCTCTCCTGCCTCTAGGCCGCCCTCGAGGAGGCGATCGACGCCGCGGTCTTCTGCCCGTCGTACCTGAAGGCGTACCACCGCCAGGCCGCTGCCCTCAAGGCGCTCGGAAGGCAGGGCGTGGCCGCCGGGCTCGAGATGATGCTGAAGCAAGAGCGCTTGCTTCGGGGACGCACGATATGGTCCGGCACCAGCTGCCTCTGCAGGGCTGCTAGATGCCGCAGACTCATCCTCGCCTCCGCCACTCTCGCCACCCCCTCCCACGCCACTCCCTCGCCCCACACACCTCCCCGCCGCCCCCCACGCCGCCGCCCCACCCTCCTCTGCCTTCGTCCTGCAGGCCTTGGGTGGGTCGACGCCCTCGCATACGAGCAGATCCTGGGCCCGGCGTACTGCGCGCACGAGTGCGCCAAGATCGCGGCGCTCAAGCCCTCGTCGCCCGTGACTGTGTTCGCCTCGCTCGTCCCCTGCCGGGGCGGCCAGTGGCTCACCGTCAGCCTCGGCTACCGAAGCTGGGGCGCGAGCATCATGGAGGGCGGTTCGCCAGAGCGGCGGCACGAGTGCCTGCACATGGTGCAGCTCGACGAGGAGAATGGCGAGATCGTGGAGTCGCCGCCGCACGGCCGCGCGTCGAGGGCGTCGGCCGAGAGGTATCCCGACCTAGATACTGTATTCACTGAATACGCTCACCGTACCGTATCCTGACGTTGGTTCCTGCAATCATGACGCAGGTTCCCCGCAGAGCTCGTCCAGTTCTTGCGCAAGCTCCGCCGCGAGTCGTCCATCGAGCCGTCGCGCCTCTGCCTGGGCCAGGGGCTTGGCGGCTTCGAGCAGAGCATCCGGGTCGCGCTGTGCGAGGCGGGATTTGGAGCGGTGACGCCGTTCCGCGCCTTGGAGACGCATGCCTCCAAGGTGGAGGCGATGGGCGGCCACGAGCGGTGGGCCGAGGTCACGATGGGGCCGGAGACGGCGGCGATGGGGCTCGGCGCGTCCGGTGGCTGCCCCAAGTCGCCCGGCGCGCGAGTCAGCGCAGTCGAGGCGGCGGAGCCAGGGGTCGGCGGCGGGGCAGCGGCAGTGGCGGCTGCCGCAGCGTCTTCCGGGGAGGCCGACAGGTTGCGGGCGCGGCTCAAGTCGGTGGTGCAGGCGCAGATCGATTCCATCATGCCCACCGAGGCTGTGGAGGCGTCGGCTTCGGGCGATAGGGTGGCAATGCTGGCGTGGCTCGACTGCGGCGGGCGGGTCGATTGGCCTTTCGAAGTAGACGAGACTGAAAACGTCACGCTGCTGATGCACGCTGCCTGGCACGGCCAGAGGCGGATGGTTGACTTGCTGCTGCAGCGTGGCGCGGATGTCAACCATCAGGACAGCCATGGCTGGACCGCGCTGATAGCCGCCACCGCCAACAGTGCCGGCGGTGGCTTCGAGCGGCTGATTGAGTTGCTGCTTCGGCACGGCGCGGACATCAGCCATCAGAGCCGCAAGGGTTGGAGCGCGCTGATGTATGCTGCCGTCGAAAACAGCCCCGCCGTCGAGCGTAAGCTGCTTCGCGCGGGCGCAGACGCGGCGGCGCGCAATGCGGATGGCATGACAGCGCTAGAGTTGGCCAAGCGCGAGGGCAACACCGAGTGCGCCGACGCAATAGAGGAGCATCTGGCGGCGGAGGCGGCGCGGCACGCAACCGCGCTGCTGGCCGAGGTCGAGGCGGAGGGGAGCGGAACGGGCAAGAAGGGCAAGAAGAAGAAGAAGAAGAAGGGCAAGGGCGGAGGGGACAGCGCGGCGGGGCCGGCGCAAGAGGCGCCGGCGGAGGAGGCAGCCGCATCAGCTGAGCCCGTGCCAGCGAATCTGGACCCGGAGAGGTTGCTCCGGCTTCTCGCGGAGCATCATGAGGCGAGGATACGGGATGGCATCACGGCGGAGATTGCGGCGAGGGCGGCAGCAGAGGCGGCAGCAGAGGCGGCAGCAGAGGCGGCGGCGGAAGCAGCGGCAGAAGCCGCAGAGGAGGAGGAAGTCGCGGCGGCGGAGGCGGCCGTGGCGGAGGCGGAGGCGGAGGAGGAGGCCGCACTTGCAGCGGCGGAGGCGGCCATCGCCGCCACTAAGGAGAGGCGCGCAGCCGCCGCCAAGGCGAGGGCTAAGGTGACGCGGTGAAGCATGGGGACGAGCTAGGAGCGCGTGTTCCTCAGGCGTACCTGTCTTCTAGTGGTCGGCGAGGCCGTGGTCACTGTCTATAAGGCATTTCGGTGTTCACTGTTGTGGCCGAGTGCGGGTGGGTAGGCCCTAAAACGGCGGGAGGGGTAGGGGTGCCGCTGTAGTGTAGTAGGGCTCGTGAGGGCTAGGGAGAGGTGGAGAGCTCGGAGGGGTCGGAGCGGGCTCGGAGGGCAGAGATGCACGAGGGTAGAGGCTCCACAGGGCCCCAAAATCCACCAGTGTGGGATTTCGCGCAATCGACTGGCGCCCGGGCGCCATACCCGCAAAAGTTGGAACCCTTGGCTTGCCACACCTGACGGCGGGCGCCTTGGCAACACATGGCCCCTCGGCTCGCGCTCTTTGCGTGCGCCTCGCTGGCGACGGCTGCGCGCAAGGACGGTTGGGCCTACTACCCGCAACGGCCCATCGGCGTCGAGTGGAAGAACCACACCATCCAAGGGCGAACACAGCCTGGGCAGCTGAACCGGCCGGCGTCGCTAGATGCAGAGTCGGCAGTCAGACTCGCACACGTGTGCTGGCAAGGCTGTCCGCCATACGCATGCGCGCACTCACGGACAAACAGCTCGGGATATGTCGTGCACGGACGGTCACTGGCAGCAGTGAAAGAGAGGGCGGCGGGCCAATGCGATGCGGCAGATGGTGTAGCTGCGCCCGCATTCATTTGGTTCTCTGGGCAAAGCGCTGTGTGCTGTCGCTGCATGGCTCCGTCTCTGCGCGCCGCGTGAGAGTGTGGCGCTTCGAGGCTGCACAGCACCCACCTCCACCCAACCGCCTCACAGGCCGGCGGCAATGATCTCACTCTCCGAGGGGCACAAGCTGCTCGTGGCAGATTGCGACAACCACCGGCTGCAGCTGGCCTCGCACCTCGACAAGCGGAACCGCTACTACCAGACGATGGGTGCCTTCGGCGTCGCCCCCTCCAACGGCCTTCAGCGGCCAACCGGCCTCGCTGTCAGCGCGAGTGGAGACGCCCTCTACCTGTCAGACTCGCACAACCACCGCATACAGCATCGCTCGTGGCCCGAGTTCAAGGTGCTGCGCACCGCCGGCTCGTACGGCGCCGAGGCCGGACAGTTCAACTTCCCTAGCGCCATCGCTCTCGCCGAGGGCCGCCTCTACGTCGCGGATACGCGGAACCACCGCATCGTCGCCTACAGGCGCGGGACGCTCCGAGACACCTTTTGCCCGCACCGCCCGCCACAGCGCCTCTGTGGCCCGCGCCGGACGGCTCGAGAGGGGCCCGACCTTTGCGCATCTCTCTCACCCTCAGCACTCGCGCAGCGCACCCAGAGCCATGACACGCAGACGGCACGTTCATGACGCGTCTGTGACACGTCGACAGCACGGCACTCGAGCACGAGTTTAGCTTTGGCGAGCGGGGCACGGCAGAGGGACAGCTGTCGTTTCCGGAGGGCCTCGCAGCGCAGTCCACCGGAAAGGGCGCGCCCCTCTTGTTCGTCGCCGACAGCGGCAACGACCGCGTGCAGGCGTTTCCTGCCGCGCCGCCTTGACGCCGCCCTCCTCTTATCCGCAGCCGCCCGCAGCAACCCTCTGCACTCTTCGCCTCCCCCTCGCACCGGGCCACTCCCTCCTACAGAGTCCGCGGCTCATAGCGTCGGGACACCTGCTTAGGTGTTCACCCCGGCCGGCAAGCTTGTGCGCAGCATTGGCAGCTCTGGCGGCGCGGCCGGCCAGTTTGATTATCCCATCGGAATCGCGACGCTCGGTAATCACGTGTATGTCTCCGAGTACACCGGCCGGCGCGTCCAGGTTCGCCAGCCGGCAATGCGCTCGCCTCGCAGTATGGCCGACGGGCCACACACGCCACTGCGCTTGCACGCGGGTGGTTCGACACACGGAGGCGCGCTCCACCCCCGTGCACAGGTCTTCAGCCAAAAGGGAGAGCTGCTGCACGTGCTCAAGCTGCGCTTCGGGCAGATGGGGCGGCTGTCGGGCATCCACGTGACGGGCCGCCACGTCTACGTCGCCGATTGGGACCGCAACGGCATCCACGTGCTGCTGCGCGTCCCTCGGCGGCGGCAGGCGACTAAGACAGACAGTCTCCCCGCAGAGGATCGGAGAGGACCTCAATGTCCCCCCGAGATGACCCGAGATTGGCCAACATCGCCCCCACCCTCGAGCTCGCCCTGGTGTCACCGCAGGTGGAGCACGACGCGGACGTGCCGCCCTCCGCCCTCAACGCGTCCTCGGCCGTGGCTCGCAGTGCCGCGTCCTCGGCCCCCGCGCTCGACCCGCCGCCCAGGTCCAAGCGGAAGAAGAGCAGGGCCAAGGAGGGCCAAAGATGAGCCTCGGCTGAGCAAGTGAGCACAGTGCAGCGTGTCCGGGTGGCGCAGATGCATTCTGAGGTGGCGTTTTGTGTGCTTGTGGTTTCCTCTCGCGCAAGTATTGGTTCTCGCGCTAAATAAATAAAAACGGACACCTCTCGTCTCTACTGTGAGATGGGTAAAAAGGAACAGGTCCCCGCCCTCGTGCGATCTTTGTGCAGGGTTCTTTGTGGGTGTGGTCGGCGACTAGCCGGGGTCGTCCTCCCGATGGGGGACTAGCGCACTAGCCGTCTTCCACATGGTCCCTCGCGCTGCATGCACGGCTTGCGCTCGAATGCGCTGAGTCCTCGGGCGCTTTTTATTGCAAGCCTGTAAGCTGCAACCTCGGTCGAACCTGCGGCATTAAATAAATAAATAAAAACGGACACACCTCTCTCTACTCTCTCTACTAACCGAGATCCCCCCGCGCCAGGGAGATATGCGAGTTTTGACTTTTGTTGGGAACATCTGAATCGCCCCGGCGGCCGGCCGGCGCCGGCCCGCTCCACGAATAGAGGAACACGTCTAGGAAACAACAAACGAACAGTCGATGGCATGTCACGGATACTATAACTCCTCTGGGACTGGCATTCCTCTGTTTCCCCATGTACTGCGTGCCACCCAAGCTTCACGAGGTCTGCCGCAAGTCCTAGCGCAGGTCTCTCGCCTGCTGCGCTGGCGGGCCTGCAATCGGCACGGCTCACTCGAGGCGCGAGCCCGACAAGCAGCTGCGCTCCGTGCAAGCCGAAATCCTCTCTGCCGGCCGTACCCCTGCCCTGGGCCGCGCCCGCCTCAGGGCGGTGCGGTGCGGGCGGGGACCAGGCTGGACGCGGCCGGACCGGACAGCGCGTAGAGGCGGACGCCGTCCCACGGGATGAGGATGAAGAGGGCGGAGAGGAGGAGGCAGCCGAAGGTGACGGCCGCCTCGACGCCCGAGTACGCCATCCCCGCCACCAGCGCCGCCGCCAGCGCGACCCAGAGCAGCAGCCGAGAGACGAGGAACGCGCGCAGCGAGCCGAGGGTGGGGAAAGACTGCCACTCGGACGGCGAGAAGTGCTCGTGCAGCAGCGAGGCCGCCGTGTTTGGCGGCCGCTGCACCGGCTCGCCGTACACGGGGTCGATCACCTGCAGGAAGGTTCCAGGAACGGTCCAGGAACGGTCTAGGAAGTACGGCCAGCGGCTCGCCGTACACGGTGTCGAACACCTCCCTCTCTCCACCCGCGTCGCCGCCCTCGCCCGCGTCGCCGCCGCTGTTGCGCGCCGCAATGGCGGCGAGGATGGCCGCATGCACGCGCGCGGTGATGGGCATCTTGCCGGCGGGGATGGCGGCGATGAGGGCGAGCAGGCCCGGGATGGCGAGGAAGAAGAGGGAGATGAGAGACTGGATGTGCTCGATATCCGGCGCGCACGGCGCCCTCGCGGGCTCCTCGGGCACAAACAACAGCTAGGAGCCGCCTAATATCTCGCGACGATCTCGGGTCACCTCGCCTAATCTCGCGGCGATCTCGGGTGCGCTCGCGGCGCGCGCCGTCTGCCGCGAAGGCTCGCCGCGAGGGGAGGGAGGGAGGAGGCAGGCGGGGGAGGGGAGGAGAAGCGAGCACGGTGCTCGAGGGC